GAATTCGCAGCAAGTGAGGTCCCTTTCGGCCAGTCCCTCTCCCGATCCCCAAGACACACCCTTTCTCGAATATTCTTCTCTGTATTGGGGATTGCATGCCAAACGGGAGCTTTCGGATCACGCGAAATCGCTTGCGCTTAGGCTATTTGGTGACTACAATAACCACGTATCCACCGAAATCTTCTTCAGAGCACAGAAATCGTATTCACACATTGTTAAATTCGACGAAAATCTCCTCTTCAGTGGTCTACACTGTGCATCCGCCTTCGGGATTGTTGAGATTGTGGCCGCTCTAGTAAGGGTGGAAGGCTGTGATATCAACCAAAAAGACTGTGTGGGTAATACACCCCTCCTCTGGGCTGTTAGGAATAAACACGAGGGAGTAGTCAGAGCACTAGTCGGACGGGGTGACCTCGACCCCAACAAACCAGATCACGATGGCCAAACACCACTCTATAACGCTGCTTCTAGTGGGCACGAGGAAATAGTGGAGGTACTCATCGGACGGAACGACGTCGACCCCAACGACCCGGATAAAGAGGGCCGAACCCCGCTCTCTTGCGCTGCTTGTAATGGGCACGAGGGAGCGGTGAAAATACTGCTCGAACGGGACAACGTCAACCCTGACTTGCCGGATCAGTACGGCCAAACACCGCTGCGTCGTGCTTCCCAGAATGGGCACCTGTCGGTAGTAAAAATACTGCTCTTAAGGGACGATGTCAACCATTGGAGTGTATTACCACCGGAAATCTGCCCGGATTACCTCCGCGACTCGTATAGCCTGCCCGAGAATGGTACCGGAGAATGGATTTTCAAAGAGGATCGGTATAAGAAGTGGTTGGAGAGTGGAGAATCCGGGGTTCTCTGGCTTTCCGGCGGCCCCGGGACAGGGAAGACTATGTTAGCCAAGCGTGTTGCTGCCGAGTTTCTCATTGGACCCAACTCTCCTCTGAGAGGGGGTATATTGGTTTACCACTTCGTCTCTCCCGAACCCCCCACATACGGCGTATGTGCTGATGATCCTGGGCCACGAATACACAAGCCCGCCAAAGTAGCTTGGGACCTACTATATGGCATTCTGCAGCAGGATAGAGAACTTTTCGATGGTTGCAAGGCTGAACTCGCAAATGAGGGGGATAGATTTTTCACCAACCCCCATTCCCTCTGGAGGGTCCTAAGAAAAGCGATCCAGGATTGCCAAACAGACTCCGTATACATTCTCATCGACGGCATAGATGGGCTCAGTGAAGGCTTGTGTAAAGAATTGATTGGAAGGATTCTACAGCTTATGGATATCCGCAGAGTCAAAATATTTCTCTCAAGTCGGGACGTACCTGGTATTTCGAACAATCTTTTTGGTTGCACCAGGATCAACCTTGATGCGAATAGTTTTGTAAAAGAGGATATAGAAACCCTTATTAGGCACGAAGTGAATGCATTCGGGTGGAATGAAGAACAGAAGGCCGGAGCAATCGAAACTCTTTTCGCAAAGCCAGAAGGAACCTTCTTCTGGGCACCGTTGGCGGTTGAAAATTTAAAACGTTCTTGCACTGGCCCTAACTTTGAAGTCTCTCTAAGGAACTACCCATGGAAGCTTAAAGACTTATATCAAAAGATACTACGCGATATCCAGTCACGGGAAAGATCGGATGAGGTTCTGTATATGATCCGGCATGTAGCACTCGCCCTGCGCCCGCTCACATTTGGCGAATTCGGACATATCCTGGCATGTATGGAATATGAAGCAGAATTTGCGCGATACCGCTCTCCTAGCGGCACAAGGCCAAAAGTTCAGCCCAAAACAGAGAACGAAGTCAGGCAATATATCCGGTCTTCCCAGTCATTTCTCCTGGCTACCGCCACGCATATATCCATTGTCCATCATACCGCAACAGAATTCCTTTTTGACGAAAGCCTCCAAGATAGCCCACAGGTGTCCCCTCAAAGTGAGCTCGACCTCGCAATTGCGTGGGAATGCTTCCAATACCTTCACAGTGCTTTTGCAGACGCAGCGAAACCCCCAAAAGGAAACACTAGGGGACACTACGATAGATCGTGGAAGGCAAGCTCAAAGTGTGATCACCCAGGGCCAGCAGAGGCTACGTGGGAAGTGGCACGGAAGGGGCCACGGGAAGCCGCGGCCAAGTGGCCATATCTAAGATATGCGGCAGAGTCCTGGTTCCTCCATGCCCGTCGGGGCATAAAGAATGCAGAACACAAATATTTCCACGATTCTGCTCGTAACTGGTTGGACTATGAGTTCTTCGATACTAGCGACGTCCTACGAAAGCCCTGGACTGAGCTCTGCGGGGACCCAAAAATGGAGATTCTGGCGGGGGATCAGACGCCACTACGCGTCGCAGTCTGTCTGGGGCTCACACCACTAGTAGAAAAGGCCCTTATAAGCTTCAACCCCGAGACAAAACAGGCAAACAACGATCAGCAACTGCTACACCTAGCAGCAAAGTTCGCCTCTGGGGCATTCAGGATCCTGATTGACAAGGGCCACCCATCCCTCCTCACGGCGCAGGATCAATACGGCAACACGCCACTACACGAAGCGGCCGCCTCCGGCTTTCGGGCTATGGTCGTGGCCCTTGTGAACAAACTTGCAACACCAGAGAATAGGGCGCACGGTGACGAAGTCAACAAGCAGAACAACTGCGGCGATACCCCACTCCACCTCGCCGTTCAGTTCGATCACCCGGACATCGTCGAGTTTCTGGTCAAGAACTGCGCAGATACGACCATCAGGAACAAACAGGGGGTGACAGTATTGGCCTTGGGTAAAGCGCTCGGGAGAGGAGATAGTTTGGATATTCTAATACAGAGCGAGAAGGAGATTGTGGAGGAAACTATGGAAGAGCCCTCGGAAGAGGTCATGGTGGAGCCTATGGAAGAGTCCCTGGAGGAGTCTATGGAGGAGCCCGTGGAGGGGGTTGTAGATGACATTCCGGATGAGTTCAGGAAGGAAATAGTAAAGGTGGCTGCGGAAGAAGTCAAGGCGGAGACTGCCGACACGGATGTTGGAGAAAGCGAAGCCGTCATTGAACCGTTAAAGTCACGTCATGTACCATTATACGCTTGGTTGGGCATTTTCTGCTGCATCCTGCTTGCCGTATGGATGAAAAAGGCTGCCCATTAGGAAGAAGGGGGGAACTGCTGTGCGGTAGTTGTGCGATAGCAACGCAAAGAACTTATTCCCCAGCCCACGAACTCCTATTAGAATTCTTTGACTCACGTTGGTGTGTTAACCGTTGATCACACGTCGGTCTCGCTCAATTCGTATTATGTACTGTAACGCCGTGAAGGGTTTTCACCCAGTTAGGTTACGCTAAGAGGTGACTTATTTTCCTCCCTCGGGGGTGGTGGTTTCCGCACGCCCTAGCCTCTTCCCTCATTCGAGGGGTTGTGTTTACTTGTTTGCTTTTTGTTTATCATGGTTGGTTGTTCCCGAAACTTTCCATACTCGGGTTATTGGGCCGTACCGTATATACTCGTAGCGGGCCTATCCGACAACAAAGCAGGGCCGGTTACCCACTGTGTGAGAGGGTTTCGAGGCTGGAGGGACTGGCTCTCATTCGTTTGTTCCTCCTTTGCCCCAGGGTGGGCAGCGTCTCATAATCCATCGTTAGCTCATTTGATGAAACAAACGAGGGTCTGTTTGGCATGACACAATAACGGTGTTTTTTATTTTGAGTCCGAATTTCCGCCAGCCCCCCCTACTCGCAACAGCTGAGTATCATACCGATAGAGTAAACTGATCACTTTCGTGTTTGTCATCATCATGTATAGTAATGTCTTCCTATATCCCCCACAAAAACATGATTTCCAAAGCTCTTATAGTAAATCACGACTTCCGGCTACTTTGCCATCAGGTTTGAGTTAAAGCGCTCATAAAACGTGTGCTATAACCCAAACTAGGGGCACAGGGGAAGGAGGGCGATGAGGTAAAATCAGTCCTGAGATCGGGGATTACATGTTTCAACCCCAACTTATATGATTTCACGTGTTTCTTTTTTTTAACCCCTGAAATGACGAGGAATTCGCTTGCTCGACTCCGATATTTTGGAAAATACTGTTCTTTTATTTCGGTCTATGATGCGTGTTCAAGAAAAACAGAGGTTTTTAATATAGTGCCGCCGGGTAGGGCTATACCGGTAGTCTTCAGTTGGGTGCCACCCCGGCCGTATCGCGCTTCCGCGGCAAGATCCTATTCAGTTTACCCGAGAGTAGTGGTGGTGAGGTTGTCAATAATCAGGGCCCGTTTACCTACAGACGGCCGTTTAGATCATCTTGACGGTGGCAACCGTCAAGGGGCTCTTAACGGTCGGCAGCGTTAGGGGCTGAATTCTCATTCTGTGTTTACCTAACATACCGTCTACCATACTACAACCCCTGCCGCACCGTCAGCGAATAAATCCAAAATTTTACAAAACACAAGGTGAAGGCTCTAGGCTCACAACTCCCAACCTCCTCTCCCATCCAACCATTTCCGACCAATTAAAACAGTGGACCCAACTTATACCCTCTAGATTCCATCTACAATGACTCTCCAAGAGTCCTTCCACCTATTCTAGTGACTCTTTTTTAGTTGTTTTTACACTATAGCTTAAATCTCTCATGGTGCCATGCAAAAAAAATCTGAATGGGAGTCGGCAATGGTTTCAATTCTGATATATTTATCCTAGAGCCACTGGAGCAAAAAAGTATCGGATTTTCAGTGGTGGTATGGCCATTCTGGGCATGACAGGTCCCAGGCATAGTGACAATGTATCAATTTTTGAGGCTGACGGTGTTGCTACCGCACCTCTGGAGCACCTTCTCGTTTTGACCGTTAAGCACCCAAAATTCCTGACGGTTGAAAATTAGGTAAACGCATTTGGCACCGTCAGTTGCAACACAACCCTGAGCTAACGGTACCGTCAGAGCCCACCCTACAAATTTCTGTGACGGAACTGTTAGGTAGACGGGCCCTCACTATGCTACCAATCATATGGTGCCGGAGATGAAGTCGAATGACCGTATACGATTCCCCATACTCCTTCCATCCTTCTTTTATCCCTTGATAGTAAAAAATATTCACAAAATGAGCCAAAAAAACACCCCAAACCACCTCCCCAACAGTAGCGAGTATACCCTCTTGTGGCTTCCCCGTGAGCCCCCCTTAACCACCCCCCTCTTCCATCCTGCTCAAATTATCACTAGGTTCGCTGACCGAATCTTCCAAGACAACAGGGCCGTCGAATCTCTCCTCGTCCGGTGCTTCTCGGACCTCTTCCCTTCCTTTACCGCAGGGTAGGCACAGCGAAATATACTTTGCCACAAGAAGGCGGTGGCTCAGCCACAGACACTGCCACATTTGGAGGCGACGCAATTTCCGCAACAACACTAGCCACCCCCGACACAGGAGGCAACGGATCAACAGAATACCCGTTACACGAGAGGGGGACCGGAAGGAACTGGAGGGGGCCGGGGGGGAGTGATGGCCACCCCAAACCTCCAAAAGTTCCTCCTCACTACTGTGACGGCCACGAGAGGGGCCGGAACGTGATCCCTCAAATGAGGAAACAGCCTGTAGACTGAGGATAAAGTCTGAGGAATTCGAGAAGGTAATTTAGCTAACGTCCCGGGGCCGTGCAGGGACACCAGAACCTCACCTAACCGATCAGCTAGTAACTGTGTTGAACGAAGATAGAGGGCGTAGAGAGGATAGGTGGGCGATGAAGAAAAGTGTAGAAGACATAACATAATCTCCAAAAGACTAGAGTAGTCATGAGGCTAAATTTAATATTCCTTGAGAAATAATTGTTCCGTGAAGCCGTGGCAATCCTGGGCGGACCAATCAAAGCTAGATGTGTGGCATTTCCTGCTAGTATACCAATGCGGTAGGCACAACCACGTTACTGTTGCAACAGATTGGGGGAGATTGATTTGAAGGTCCTGATGCATGAGGTTCAATGAAATACCCCTCTTTTCTCCCGGCTCTATGAAGCTCTTGTGATCAACCGACTCCATCATCTATCATCTACGATATCCCACGTCGCGAGAAACAGAAAATGTCTCAATCATTCAGTAACAATGTCAACTCTATGAACATTACAAATATCCACTATGCAATTGCCAATGATCGACCGAATATCCTAGCCTGGCTATCCCCGCTAGACTCCAGACCGCAGCACCACAACGTCCGAGACCGCCGCTCGGAAAATGTAGGGGAATGACTCCTGCAAGCTAAGGAATTTAGAAGCTGGTCCGCCAGCAGTGAGGAAAGTGAGGCAAATAATGCGGTTTTTTTTTGCTATGGAAATCCAGGGGTCGGCAAGACATTTATTAGGTAACCACGGGAAACCTCGAGGGACGGGAGGAAAAGGGCAAGCGCTGACAAGCCGCGATTCTACCGGTAGCTCATTGGTAATAGATAACTTGTGGAAGCGGGCCAGGGAACAAAATTTTGCCGTTGCGTGGTTTTACTTCGATCATACAGCCCGGGAAGAGCAGTCACCAACGAGTACGCTGGGTGCACTGCTCAAACAGGTTGTGGGAAGACTAAAAGATGTGCCGGGGGAAATAATGAAATGCTACGAAGACCAAAAAGATTTTGTTTGTGGACGGGGACCACCACTTTCGGATATCGTGACGATGCTGCAGACCACCACTTCCGAAAATCGTACATTCATAATCATCGATGCTCTAGATGAATGTGCGCCAGAAGCCCTCCTCAAGCTTCTCGTTTCGCTAAACCAAGTCCTCCACGAGTCTCCCGGCACCCGAATATTCATGACTGGGCGGCCATACATGTACGTACTCGTAGAAGCAACCCCCGGAAGGCTGCCTCAGGTTACCCACTAACGAACACCTATTTAGATTCCGGTTAGTCTCGCTAAACACCGATGCGATCCTAAAAGAAGCCACAGTCCACGGTAGGCGACAAAGGCTCAGCGCAGGAGCCGATGCATTGGGGTTGGGGGATTTCTATGGCGCAGCACTGCGTCGGATAAAGGAACAGAGTGGGGAGGAAGCGAGGCTCGGAATGGCCACCCTAATGTGGATCTCTCACTCGGAGCGGCCCTTGAAGCCTGACGAGCTGCGTCACGCCCTTGCAGTAGTAATAGAGTCACCGAATCTTGTTACCGACAATGCTCCTTCAATTGGAACACTACTATCCTGTTGCCAAGGACTTGCTGTCGTGGACAAGGAGGCTTCCACAGCCCAGCTAATCCACTTTACCCTTCAGAAGTACCTCCGTGATCATCCCGAGGTTTTTGGTAAAATTCACTCGACAATGGCCGAAACGTGCTTAAGTTATCTGAATTCCCAGCAAGTCAAAGCCCTTCCGACCGGTCGCTCTCTCAATCCCCGAAACACCCCCTTTCTCGAATATTCTTCTCTGTATTGGGGATTGCATGCCAAACAGGAGCTTTCAGATCACGCGAAATCGCTTGCGCTAAGGCTATTTAGTGACTACAATAACCACGTATCCACCGAAATCTTCCTCAGAGCACAGAAATCGTATTCACACATTGTTAAATTCGACGAACCTTTCCTCTTCAGTGGTCTACACTATGCATCCGCCTTCGGGATTGTTGAGATTGTAGCCGCTCTGGTAAGGGTGGAAGGCTGTGATATCAACCAAAAAGACTGTGTGGGCAACACACCCCTCCTGTGGGCTGTCAGGAATGAGCACGAGGTAGTGGTGGAAGAACTAGCCGGACAGGATGACCTCGACCCCAATAAACCGGATAACAACTACCAGACTCCCCTCTATCACGCTGTCAACGGTGGGCACAGGGCACTGGTGGAAATACTGATCAGACGGAGTGACACCGACCCTAACAGTCCTGATTCCAGAGGCAGAACACTACTCTCTTGCGCTGCCTGGAATGGGCACGAGGGAGTGGTGAAAATACTACTTGGACGGAGCGACGTCAACCCCGACATGTCAGATCGGTACGGCCAAACACCACTCTATCGAGCTGCTTGGAATGGGAACAAGGAAGTGGTGAAAATACTACTCGAACGTGACAATGTGAACCCCAACATGCCAGATCATCACGGCCAAACACCACTCGATGGTGCTGTCAAGAATGGGCACGAGGGGGTGGTAGCAATACTGCTCGCACGGGGCGGCGTCCAAAGCTCGGTCCCCGGAAGCAGCGTAAGCAATGAGGGTAGCCCCAACACCGAAGACTGTCTCGACATTATGGGCAGCTCCAACAACGACAGCTCGGACTATAAGGGCAACTTCTGCAATAACCTCTATCACTTTAACAACAATAGCTATAGCTACAATAGCTTTAATGCAACCATCAAGAATAATTATAGTTCACCGGAAGCTTCAGCTGTTCCTGGTATGCAGTATTTCATTGCCTGCCATTGCTCCCGACTTACTGCTAAGAACATGTGCAGGAACCTTTAGAGAGCTGATAACGAACAACGGTTGGGGCGTCTGGCTGCCGGAAATTGACCTAGATTACCTCCGTGACCCACACAATGTGCCCGAGGCCGGCACCGGAGAATGGATTTTCGAAGACGATAGGTATAAAAAATGGCAGGAGAGCAAAGAATCAGAGGTTCTCTGGCTTTGCGGTGGCCCTAGGACAGGAAAGACTATGTTGGCTAAGCGTGTCGCGGCCGAACTTCTCAGAGGACTCAGCGATCCTCCCAGAGGCGCTAAATTGGTTTACCACTTCGTCTCACCCGAACCTCCCACGGACAGCATGTTAAATGATAGTCCCGAGTCACGAAAACGGAGGATTGCCAAAGTAGCCTGCGACCTACTGTACGTCACTTTTCAGCAGTACAGAGACCTTTTCGATAGCTTTAAGATTGAACTTGAAATTCAGGGGGATAAAATTTTCACCAACCCGAATTCTTCATGGAGAGTTCTAAAAAAAACGATCCAGGATTGCCCAACAGACTCCGTATACATTCTCATCGATGGTGCAGATGGTCTCGACGAATTCTTGTGTAGAGAATTGATTAGAAGGATTCTAGGGCTCAGGGTTATCCGCAAGGTCAAAATATTTTTCTCAAGTCGGGATGTACCTCAAGTTTCCAACAACCTTTCCGCACGTAGCGAAATCAACCTTGATACAAACAGATTCGTAAAAGAGGATGTGAAAACCTTTATCAGGCACGAGGTGAATGCGTTCAGGGAGTGGAGTGACAAACAGAAGGTCGGAGCAATCCAAACTCTTTTGGCAAAGTCGGAGGGAACCTTCCTCTGGGCATCATTGGCGATTGGAAATTTGGAACGTTCCTGTCCTGGCCATAACTACGAACACTTTCTGATGAAACTCCCATCAACGCTAAGAGACCTTTACGGAAAAATGCTACGCGATATCCGGTCACGGGAAAGATCGGAGGAGGTTCTGTATATGATCCGGCGTGTGGCACTCGCCTTGCGCCCGCTCACATTTGGCGAATTCGGACATATCCTGGCATGTATGGAAGATGAAGCAGAATCTGCGCGATACCGCTCTCCTAGGGGGGCAAGCCCAAAATTTCGGCCCATAACAGAGGACCAAGTCAGGCAGTATATCCAGGCCTCCCAATCATTTCTCCTGGCTTCCGCCACACATGTATCCATTGTTCATCATACGGCAGTAGAATTCCTTTTCGACAAAGCCCATCTGGATGGCCCGCCAATATTCCATAAAAGCGAGCTCGACCTTACGATGTCCTGGGAATGCTTCAAGTACCTTCACCGTGCTTTTTCAGACCTGGCAAAATCCCTAGAGGAAAACGACAGGGAACATTACGATGGATCGTGGAAGGCAAGCTCAAAGGCTAATCCCCAGATGCCAGCGGAGGCTACATGGGAAGCATCACAGAGCCAAAAGGAAGCCGTTGCCAGGTGGCCATATCTCAGATATGCGGCAGAATCCTGGTTCCTTCATGCCCGCCGGAGCGTAGGGACTGCAAAGCACAAATTCTGTGACGAATTCTCTCGTAACTGGCTGGATTACAAATTCTTCGATACCAGCGGCGCTATACGAGGGCAATGGATTGAGTTCTGCCGAGATCCGAGAATGGAGGTTTTAGCGGGGGAGCAGACGCCACTCCACGTTGCTGTCTGTCTGGGGCTCATGCCACTGGTAGAAAAAATCCTCTTAGATTGTAATAATAGGGCAGCGGGTAAGAACAAACAGTCACTCCTACGCCGGGTAGCCAAGTCCATGTCCGGGGCATACAAGACCCTGAATCCCAAGGGCGGCCCATCCCCGGTCACAGCGCTGGATCAATACGGCAACACACTACTACTACACGAAGCGGTAACTTCCAATCACCGGAACAAGCAAGAGGCCCTGGTAAAGAAATTCGTAAAATCAGCGGACATCGCACACAGTGTCCAAATCAACAAGAAGAACGATTTCGGCGATACCCCGCTTCACCTCGCTGTTCAATTCGATCATCCGGATATCGTCAAGTTTCTGGTCGAGAACGGCGCAGATCTGACCATCAAGGACGAGCAGGGAACGATAGCATCAGACTCGATCGAAAGGCTCGGGGGAGGAGCCATTGTACGTTGGCATAAATAACTGAACATTCGCAACCAGCAACTTAATTCCCAGTCCAGAACTAAAGTCTTCAAAAATAAACCTCTCTCAATAATGCTAAGCAACATAGTCAAACCCATCAACAAGACGTAGGCAATTTCACAGCATGGTTAGTAACACATAGTGGATGAATAATTCTTATTCAAGAATTTCTAGTGGCTATGAATTCAATACAAATGTATCAATAGTGACACTTTAAATATTAAATATTTTTC